ATGTATATTTCACAACTGTACTATTAATTTGGTGCAAAAGTAAATTTATTGTGTGAAATTTGTTGAAAGAACATTAAATATGTTCCCACCATTTGTTGTATCAGTTTCTGTGTTGATAATTAATTAATATTCAAAGTCACGTGCAGTGTCTTTATATCTGATAAAACACCGCATACTTATAAGGATGAGGTTTATCGATATAAAGTCACTGCACGTGATGTATTATCTACCATTTGATAGGTTAATGGGCTTATGAATTATTAATGAGTTTTTGAATGTTAGTTCAAGTCAACTGTCGGCAAGGGCACAGGTACTCATTCCCCTTTCTTCTCCCAGTTGTCTCAGACAAAGAACCCTGTAAAATCACACACTTGCAATTGCACAAAGTAATTGTAAGCTTAAGTGTTGCGATAAGAAATTTTGTTAAACAAAATATTAAGGTACATGTATCTGTAGACTATGAAAAATGGAAATGGAATGTATAGAAAGCTGCAAAATTTTGTGAATCGCGAAATTAAGTCCTCGAAGTCAAATTACTATTGCAACCTAATTGAAGAAAGTAAAGGCAATTCCAGCATGGTTTGGAAAGCAGTGAATGAAGCTTCCTCATGCAACGTTAGCTCATCCATCCTGCAGTATATAATTGCAAGTGGAGTACAATATAACGACCCCAAATCCATTGCTACAGTCCTGAATGATTACTTTGCTTCTGTTGGAAGATTGCTGGCAGAAAAATTCTCTCGATCTCTTAATCATGTAAATCCTGCGAAACTCAATGTTTCTGAACCAGTGATGGTTTCTTTTGAGTTAAGAACCGTAAGTCATTCCTTTGTTTTACAACAGATTTGTGCCCTTTAGTGCAATAAGGCCATCGGGTTAGACAGAATCAGTGCCCGTTTACTGAAATGTGCTTCTCGAACTATAACTCCATCAATTACAAAATTGTTAAATCTGTCAATTGCAACCAACGAGTTCCCTAACATCTGGAAATGTGCTAAAGTCACAGCACTTTTCAAAGCCGGGAACCATACTAGCCCGTCTGATTATCACCCTATTTCTATTTTACCAACTCTTAGTAAAATCCTAGAGAGGGCTGTGCATTATCAATTTTATCAATACCTTAACCAACATAACCTACTCAATGAAAAGAAATTCGGATTTCGGCCTAAATATTCAACAGTTAACGTTGCTTCTAGTTTTGCCGATGAAATTTTATTTAATATGGAAAGGGGTAAAACTGTGTGGAGCCGTATTCTTGGACCTTTCTAAGGCCTTTCATATGGTTGACTACACAATTTTGCTACGAAAGTTGCCATCTTTTGGGGTGACTTCTGACGTGGCTAAATGGTTTGAGTCATATCTTAATGGACGAATGCAATGTACATCTTGCGGTCTGGAATTGTCTGATTTGTTATCTGTTATGCATGGCGTACCTCAGGGCAGCATATTGGGCCCTTTGTTATTTCTTATTTATATAAATGATTTGCCCACTGTCATCAAGCATTCGGAGGTAGCCCTATATGCTGATGATGCAGTGCTTTATTGCTATGACTCAAACCCAGCTGGTCTGGAGTGTGCCCTAAATGCCGACTTGCATGCTATTGCTAGCTGGTTAAATGATAACAAACTTACTCTTAATGTTGATAAGACCAAAGCTATGCTTATTGGTAGTGATTCCAAGCTTTGCAAGTTAAACAGTCTCTCAGTTTTTGTTCTTGGTAATCAACTTGATAGTGTTAGAAGCTTTAAGTATCTAGGAGTTGTATTATCCTCCAACTTTACGTGGACCGAACATGTGGCACATGTGATATCTAAAGTGAACCAGAGATTAGGTCTTTTGTGTATAATTAAGCATTTGTTGCCATATAATGCATGCCTTCTTTATTACAAAAGCCTTGTCCTTCCCATCCTTGATTATGCTGATATGGTATGGGGTGATAAGGATAACACTGTCTTAATGAACAATCTGCAGGTGTTGCAAAATAAGGCAGCAAAACTTGTTCTAGATAAACCATTGTACTCTTCTGCAACTGATGCTCTCAATCAGCTCAGCTGGTTAAATTTAAAACAACGTAGGCACTTCCATCGCTGCTTATATGTTTATAAATGCGTGAATGGAATTACATCTCACAAATTGGAATTATCTAAAAACAGCAATGTACATAGATACAACACTTGTTGCAAAGATCATCTTAAACTTTCATCAGTTAAACAGAACTGGGGTAAACAAAGAACCTGTTATCATGCCTTTAAAGACTGGAATGCCTTGGAGAGTGACTTGAAGAACTCTGGCACTATATGTCAGTTTAGGAATAACTTTTTAAAATCTTTTAATCTATAGCTTACTTTTTTACTTTTTAATATCGCCAATTTTTATTTACTTTTAACAATTTAATGTTATTTTGGATTAGGACCTCTCTGTAGATCACCTACGGGTGAGAGAGCTTCCTGTTTAAATATCATCATTATATAACTGATTCAGCTAACTCCAGTGCTGGAAAAATCATCAGGTACTGTTAAGATCCTAGACTGTCTTAAATCTAAAGCTCTTTGGTCTTACATGTCAACTTTAAACTTTAAAGTCCCCCCCCCCCGCCAATCATCACCCAAAATGCTTGAATATGCTTGTGTATGTCAGAAAACTGCAGCTAAGTCCAGGAAATCACCAAACTTACCTGTGAGATTTCCAAAATCTCTAGCAGCTGTGTATGCCGTGCTAATGTCAAGGAATTTAAGTGACGACTACAAGTGAAAAATAAAAACTAGTGTTATTTATAATCTGAATGCTGAACAGCAAAGAAAAATTTATACCAGCACTCATTCACCTTGTGTTAATTTCTTGTGCCACCTTCATGAAATTGCTACATGTTTCAGAAAATGTTGGTAACTTGTCCAGAAGTGACTCAGCATGCTCCTCCACTGACACAAACTACAATAAAGTTTCCATCAAATCAGACTTTTCCAATACTACCATTTTACTTATTACATGTATAAAAATCAACCCAATTGTCTTTACAGTACTATAATGGGGACCTCTAACCCAAAGAGGATCAAAATTTTCTGATTTGTGGATTTAAAGGTGTACACCTTTAAGCAAATAGGATTGTGCAAAATCTTCAAGAGAATGTGAAATTTAAGCTTGGATAATTACACTGTACAATTCCTAGAAGTCTTGGGAGTATTTTGAACTTCTTGGTACATCTTAATCAAGCATACACAGAGGAATGCGCATGATGCTTATGTCTATAAAAATTTTTGTTGAATGACTTTGTCCCTTAGTAACTTGAACCTTGAAATAAGTTATTTAAAACCTCAAATTGATTTCCCTGACATTTTCTTGCTGCATCCCATTTATTTTAACCTCAAAAATTTGAACCCCTTGTAACTTGAAAATCATGCTTTCTTACTACTGGGACTCACTTCATAGAAATAACTATGGATATCTTTTAAGTACTTAGTACATGTACATGTCATGCACAACTCTTCTCCTCTAACACTATTAGTTCAGTTGACTTACATCATTAAAAATTTCTTTGGAGCATTCTGCAGTTTTGATGAATGTCTTGTAGTTGTTAAAGGCCAAGTGCTCAGTTTGCTCTAAGATCTGGGCCTTTTCTTCAGCAAGTCTTTCAGGTTCCCGGCCTATTGTAAAATAATTCAAGAAACTTAAAATTAAACACTTTTCCTCCCTTATAAGAATACAGTAATTTCACATGCATATTAGTTATAAGCAGGTCACTACACAGTGCATGTCTGTTTTTTGTGACAATATTAAGATGCATTATTATTTCTTGTAGATATCTGTTCAAAACTAACATGGATATAAGATCAGGAAAGACAGGAGTAACAAATCAAATCATTTAAAAACCACAATTAAATCAAAATGTTTCTTCCAAAAATCTCTCTCTTTGCCTCCTTCTTATAATGTTGTTTTTATGGATTTGCAACAATTTTTCCTTTCCTCTCTCCTGCTATTTTCTCTACCCCAATTATCACTAAGAGCTGTATAAAAGATCTCCAACAGAATTAATTGTAAAAAAAGCTTCACACATTTGTCTGCCTCTAACAATCTCATCTCCAGATCTGGGTAGGTGAATCAATCAGATAAGTGAATGGAAAGGAATGGTATTCAATAAAAATCCCTTAAAGAAGATGGATAATAATGGGCATAAAAGGTCTTACTTAATTTTTCCACACTGGAAGCACTGAGTTCTGCTAGATACAAAGAGAAATCTGGATTATCCTTCCATGCATCTGAAATAGTAAAGTAAAAAGCAGAGAAGATGAACACTGATTACTTGTAGTATTGACAATTGTTTGCAATATTGATAAACATTTTCTGGTTGAAAACTTCACATGCAGCAACAGAGGAATTTTGGCCAAGTTCTCTGAATGTTTGAAACACATAATACTTTTACTTTTTTATACAATAGAACTTCCTTTTTGGATAACAATAATACAATAAATCCAGATACCGCACACAAAGTATACTCTACTTGCCATATCAGTTAAGAATCCAAAGCAGAAATTTCATTATTGTATGAAGAGTAATGGTATCATGCCTTTATTTGGCTTTATACGAAAGAACTAGTTCACATACATAATGAAGGTATCTGAAGGAATCTGATTCATGCAATATTCACTGATCTCATTCGTTAACGTACGCAAGCTTTATATACTTACTTTGACTTCCAAACGAGCTTCCAGAAGATAAACGTTTTACAAACAACATCAAAGTACATTGTTGTACGATTATCAATCTCTCCGGTGAGAACTAAGATTACCAAAGATTATATATCAAGGACGGCAAAACAGGAAAGAACCACATAAGATTATTCAAGTTATTTCACTTTGTGATAATTACCTTGAAACGACTCCTGGAACAGCGTCTTGAAGAGACCATCATCCTGCTCGGAAACATCCATTCTCTTCCTTGTGCCACTTGGCAGTTGTTTCATACTTCGTGTAAGGTACTTCCAGCTAACCTCCGAAAGTGTAGCAAAGCCCCATGGGAAGTAAATTCTTTGAACATGGCGGATGGTCAGGTGTGACGAGGAAACAGAAAGCAAAACAAAATTGGAATTATGGCCTTGGATGGCGAGGAAAGTACCCCGGTCCCAAATTTGGCTCTAGAAGCGATTGTTAAGCCTACACTCCGTGAGGTAATGCTTCAGCTTTGTTTCCTTTTTGAGTCGAGGTTTACAGAGGCTGAACTAAATATGACCTTGACTTATACGAACGTACGCTTGATTTATTTATGCCCCATACACACCAATATGTTTAGTGAAACCGGGTTTAACTGAATGGAGATCAGAAAAAAAGAAATGAAAAACTTTCTCCCATTTGATTTTTTTATCAGAAACAGTTAGAACTTTTTAATTAAATCAGATCCCCTTAGAGGGACCAAACTGAATACTTTTCTTTTGTCAGTGAGTGCCAGTCAATCCTGTTGACAAAAGGAAAGTTGCCTATGTGTTTGATGAACATATGCATGACAAATGTAGCAACCTTTACACTTTTAAGCATATAAGCTCCCTTTGAAAACTTTGAAATACCCATACATCAGCTGTATGTACAGTTGAGTAATTATTTAGACAGATACATGTACTAGGTGTAGGTACAGTACCTTAATAGGAAGTAAACAGATTCTTGATATGGTCATAATTGGATATGTCATGGGTACTTGGTGACAAGTGACTCCAGTGCAGGTAAATGAGATCTCTTTTTTTCTTCTCTTTTGTGTTCTAGTTAGAGCCATTTTATGATGATGAAGCTGTTGAAAAGCTTCGAACTGCTTTTGCCAAGGTAACAGGTGTTGAAATTTAACAGATGATGCAGTGATCATATAAGTTATTTAATTTTTAAATATGCAAGAAAATTTTTTAACAACTTGGACCAAGTCGAGGGTTTTATTGTTTGTACACACTACACTTAATGAGATTCACATACAGCAACAGTGCTTCATTGTCAATGATTACATTGACAAAGGTCTATGCAGGTGGTAGACAAATAAAAACAACATTCTTCACAATACCATTGTTTACATTTTGATCAATTAGCAAATTGGTGTGCATACAGGATAGGTTGCTTTATCCTTGGCCTATAGCTTTCTACAAACAACATATAAAGTTAATCCCCTATAAATTGTGGAACTGCTGGATGGCAAACACTAAATTATAAATGATTATAAGCAGTAGATTCTTTGTAAGTTTTAAGGTTTGGAAATACCATGTCTTCAAAACTAGTTGGTACACTAGGAAAAAATTTTGAAAGGGGACAAAATTTGCTAGGATTTGAACAAAAATATTCCTATCTCCATGGTGTGCTCAGGGATGAGTTAGTGAGGGGTGAGTTAGTAAGTGAGTTACATTGATCCATCTTTGATCTACCACCTGTAGCACAGTGTCCATGTAGACCAGGTTAAATTGCATCTTTGCAATAAATTGTATTGATTTCTTAGGTTGAGAATGATATACCAGGGATAACACAACAACTTGTTGGAGAAATTTTGAAGTCAGGTAGCCATGTGTATTTTTTTTGTGATTGATTTTTTTTGTTTAGAATCGGTAAACCAGATTATTTGTATTTTGTTATCTTTAAATTCATGCCTATCAGTAAAGAACAAGACAAACTATTCATATGTATTGAAAAATTTTAAACAGAAAAAACATTTGAAACGCAATAAGAACATGTTTGTATTAAATAGTGTTATGAGTTGTATTAGATCAAAGAAGATTTGTAAACTTAACAAGTTGTTAAATAAAAGTGATACAAGCAGGTTAGTTGGGTATTTTAGACCATGCTTTAGTCACAGTGATTGTCATAGTGACCTCAACCAACAGATACAGCAACTTCAAATTGAATCTCTTATCATAAAGTCCTTCAATTATCTTTATTTCCAACAGCATCATTATCAGTGAACATGAATGAAGTTCTTCTTCTCTGTGCTGCTCAAAACAGCGAAGGTGAGTTTGGATTTTCCTTTTGTTAGCTTCTACAGGCCATCTGTTTAACTTTTAAAGCGCAAGTTCTTATGTTAGCTCATTTACAATTCGATACAGTGGAGAATTTGTCTAGGAATATCTAACTGCTGGAATTGGAAAAAATATCTATGTATGTTTGATGACCTATGCCATGTATTAACCCTCTAAATGAGTTTATTTGAAGTAATCATAAGAACATGATACACTGTACTGACTATTTAAACTTTTTAAAACTTGTAGTTATAAACTGCAGTTTACATTGTAGTTGGGGATGACAGATTTAAAATTTGCCTAACTGTTTTTTCGGTGTGGTAACCTTGATTTTGGTAATAATGACAATAACTTGTTAATTGATAACTGGACAATATTTGATTTGAATTTCAACAAACAAATAAAACATATGGCAGCTGCAATCTATTGTAGAATTGGCTATCAAAAGTAATACGCCATACAGGGACTCTTTTGACTCCTCTTTCGTATACAAATACTGTTTAATTTTGGCCTCTTTCAAGAAATTATCTTCCACAATCTTTGGGACACACATGGGTAAATGGGTATAATACCACATCTGAAAGATTCACCTATAGTTTCCAAGATTTTTGTTGCAAAAGGAGTTCGTTAGTATTTGCTGACATTCATTACTCTGATCTTTCCCAGATTATACTTTTAAAGTCCAAGGAGAGGAATTTAATGCATTGTTGAAAAAAGCAAAAGGTAATTGTGATAATGGACTGCTACAGTGTAGTTAAGACAGACCACTTTTCCTTCAGCACTTAAATACTTAGCAACATGAGAAGGTGACATCAATGTGAGATATAGTGTTTCATAATATTAGAACTATAAATAAGAATGCAACATAGCTTTGCAAATTTATTCCTATTCTAGTCGAATCTTAATTGTTCATTGGTGTGGAAATGCATATTATGTTGACTGCTCTATAATCAAAACTTGTGTGTGTGTTGTGATGTTCATGTCTTAAACCTGATCTTGATTTTCCTTTGTAGACTTAAAGACCATATTAGCAAAAATTCCAGCTGAAATTGGCAACAGGCAAAAGTTCTTGCAGACCATTAAGTAAGAAGAAAATAGGAAAATTAGGGATATGGAATATATAATTATTTAGGTTCTAAATATAATGACATAAACATAATTTTACATGTAACTTGATATATAAGAGAGAAGTGATGATGTCTTTTGTATTTTTTGCTGTCCAATAACCAGTTAGACTTGATTATTTGCTAAGAGATTGTGTGATCTGTAGGGAGGATGCACATGTTTTCTTACACAACCAGAAAATAATTTTTTTCTGGTTGATAACTCTGCAATACTCTTCTTGGTTGCTACAAAGTAGTTGTGGAACACATCACTCTAGAGATAAGAAAAAGAATAACTGTTTTTGACATTTTACTTTTTACCCAGGGATATTGCTACTGCTATAAGGGACCTGCTAGATGCAGTGAATGAGGTTTTCAAGAAGTGTCAGAATGTTGGGAAGGTGGCACAATATAAAGAGGTACAGTAATTGAAAACACTTGTATGGTCATAAGCTTCAGAAGCACTTAACATGTGTGCTTTTGGTAGCATCTGACATTCCTTAAAATAAAGGAATTCTTTAAATCACAGTTCTACAGAATCTGCCATTGCAATTGACATTGCTTTTACAAAATCTTGTAGGGATGGTTATAATGTTCTTTAAAATTTCATGATACTTGTTAAGGAAAGGAATTTGACTCACCTTTGCCTATGGGCAGGCTCTCGCCTATTATTGACAGTACTCACATTGTTTTTTTTTCTTTTCAATTAAGGGTCTTGAGAGGAACAAAAAGGAATTTGTTAAATATTCCAAAAACTTCAGTGATACTCTAAAGCAGTATTTTAAAGATCAAAGGTTGGTTTGAAATGGAGTTGAAGCAGTATTTATTGTTAATGGTGCCGCAAAGTCTGAGAGTTAGGCAACTAAATCTGACCACTCCATGATAAGCTTACGTTCTCATTGGTTCTCTCTGAGTACACCAGATGACGTTATCCCCGCTGTTTGGTCTTTCCTTAGCTCTTATTGTACGTTACCACATCATTCTAATCCTGGTTTTACACAAACTTACTCAGAAATCTCACTCAGACTACAAGCTGTGCCTCTTTCCTTTGTGCAAATAGATATTGTGTTGGACTATCTGGCTTTGACTTAATCGCCTCTACTCCCGGTGATTTGCCAACTTTTCTCTTTTTCTCACTTGCGGAGACTTAGTCAAACGAGGCATACAAGGAGAAAGATAGGGGAAGTTAAATTCATGCGCGTCCAGATCCCAAACAATGTCCTTTGTACTCTTCTTGCCCTTTGTTTTCGAATCTTCTCCTTCGCACTCCACATAAGCTAGGCTAAACTGGGTGTGGAGAACTTTTCGTGGTTCGAGAAGGAGGCCATTTTCTGGAAAAGGTACACCAAAACATTTACGTCTAAACGATCTCTGCTTGTAACATGATGTGTCCCTTAGCACTCGTCAGGGAAGAAGGTCTTAATACTGAGGTGCTTGTCAGTGTGTCATTGTTACTAAGTTTTGATCTGATAATTGCTCTTTTGTTTTCAATCTATATTTTTTTTAGGTCGGAGGCAGTATACGTTAGCGCGAACAGACTCATCAACCAGACAAACCATATTTTGTATATGTTTAGATTAGCTACAAGCCCATAGATAAATTTGTAAAACATCCTCAGGACTTGCCTTTGTATTCAGCTGAGTCAATCTTAACGGGAGCGATGCCTGTTTTAATATTTATGTAAACAGAGACTGATTCTTACATGTACAAGCAAACCTAATTTTGTTGTTAGGGGCGAAAAAGACAATGGTTCACATTGAATAGGCTGAAGAAACCATTTGTGAAACAGAATGGAATCATGGATATCTTGGAAAACATAGTGAAATTTACAAGGCGTGGAATACTTGTTTCCGCTTCAGTTTCCTCATATTCTCTTGTCGCATTTTCTCTTGTATGGATTCGGCAAATTTGGGTGATTCTCTTAACCATCTTTTTGTACTTTTATAGAATTGTAGAATTAAATCTTTGTTTTCTAGACAGCAAAATCTCATAAAATTTACTCTCGAGTTTCAAGAATGTAATACCGATGTGACAGCGATAAACGCATCAGAGATTGGCGTATATGACGCTCACCATAAGGGAATGGCCAACTTACCACCTATTACAGTTTGAACATTTTATTTTTCAGGCTTTATGTTCCTTGCTGTTACTACTTCACTGATTACTCCCAAATAAGTTAGCGAACAATTCTTATAAAGATTTCCTTAATTATTCCCCACTAATGTCTGTTTCGAAAAATAAAATAAAAAAGACAGGTCACCGTGTTTGTTTAAGAGATATAATGGGCCAAACTTACCCCAATTAAACCTGCACAGGCACTAACCACGCGCGTCATTTCTTCGGTTCACGGTACATTCTGCGGTAGCTGGAAGTTAGGGTTTTTAAAATGACAACTTGACAAGTAGAAAGTCTCAACCGTATGGAACAATGGAACATTTTACGAATAATTTGGGGAAAATCACGCAATTTTAAACGACATCGACTCAGAACGTTCCTCGAGTCGTTTCTTTTAGGGACATTTGCATACTCGAGTAACGTGCTTCAGCTATATCTTTCTCTTCGATGAATTTGTTTTATTTCTCTAATTTAAAGGGGATAATTTATAAACCAACATTATGCGATAAAGATTTAGGTCACTATGCTCGTACAAGACAAAAATGGTTATCATTGGGTCTAACAGCCTTCCGACCATCTGGGTGACCACCTAATGCAGGTTCGACTGTATTTCAATATCTAGAGACTTTATCTTTTTAATTTATGGGTGTGACCAATAAGAGCTTGGTAAGTTTCAGGAATTAATTTGTTTCAGCAATGCCAACATTGGCAAGACTCATGGCTGTGTTATTTCCTGTTAGCTGAAAGGAACAAGGATAAAAGTTATTGAATATCGACATGTCGACATGGTACTAAGAGGGAGGACAGCTTCTTGCGGATAATATTTTTGGACCATGATTTAAAGTTCAAAGCATTCTTCAAAGCGTCTTCACCGAGAAAGCGAATTTACAAATTTAGGGACACGCTGTGTACTCTGAAATCTTCCTCACAGATTCCACGAGGGCAGCAATTTGTTTATGACGGTCGATAGGTCGACTGATCAAACGAGAAATTACCCAACGTTTTTTCTTGCCTATGAATGAAATGTAACCATTGGACCGATGTGCTTAGCCGAGATTGAAAGTTGCAAATTTACGGCCATGGCGACAGTGGTTGATTACTGTCAGAGTGATATTTATTTTCAGTGTAAAAAAACCATCTAAATTGAGCAAAACGAATATGCCATGTTATAGAAAAGCATGGATATAAGGTGCAAAGCAAAATAAAGTCCTTAAACCAGAGTTTTATGCAACAGCTTTTTATTACAAAGTGCGTCAAGTGGTATTATGAAGGTGAGACAGTCACCTTGAACGAAAGAGGTGTTCGACGTGCTAAAGTTAAACAGCCATAAGAGTTCTTTCCAGATCGTAAATTTGACATGGCATAAATTTTAGGGAATTCCGGCATGGAAATTAACTTTGACCAGAGTAAACTACTTTCTCCACAATAAAGCAAATTTACCTAATTTCACGAATTCACGAAAGGAGACTGTGATTCTTGATCAAAATTAATGGTAGCTCAATGTGAGTATTTTGTTAAGTTGAATAGACTATTTTCTCCCAGTAAGAGAAGATAACAATCAACTAGTTGTAATTCGAGGTCGATGAGGGAATGAGAAATGATCAAACGACTTCTAATTTTTTTGCCGAAAGACTTACGATGTCTATATGTTATTTCCAATCACATTCCCAATACTAAAATAACGAAGTGGCAATAACTAAGAAGAAGCACCAACTAACTAAAGTTATCTTGTTGTGTATTCATTTAATGGAGACGCTCACTCTTCAATTTCTTTCTATCTTCTGTCTTTATTCATCGATCAAGTATCTAATAAATTGGTACAATCATCAATCTAATTACACAAACAATCGTTAACTGTTTTTTCTTCTTCCATGCTTCTGCCTCCAAATTAATGTAACTCGTCGTTGTTCACTCCATTCTCTTTTTGATTTAAAGTAACGAAGTTCAACAAGTCGATATGTGTCACAATTCCTAATATTATCTCTTTTTCATGCTGTTCTCCTTTAACGGAATCCTGTTTGAATCCGGGTTGAATCAAAATCATAACCGTGAAATAGAGAACAAAATGATCACAAGCTGGTATTCAAAGTTCTTCAGGGCTATTAATATGTACAGGTAAAGGGCTTTATCAGCAGCTTAAGAAGTTTGGAGAGGGTAGGTGTGTGTGAACTGCAATTCGCTTGTTGTGATCTCGGATGGAACACCTGCAAGGATGCTACTGCCTTCTACATTCTGGTCATATCACAACCAACCCCAGCCACAATGGATTCCAAGAAGGGTAACACGAACAATTGATACATATTAGGTATTGCATGTATTGTCATCATCATTTCATAAATTATCAAATTACCTACGGGGTTCTCTGTGAACCACAACGGCATAGTGATCGTGATCCAAGATACGAGATAAGTGGTCAAGGGTAGCGTCTAGTGTAACCTGTGGTTTGAATCCTCACAAGGATTCAAACTACAATGTACTTGTAGACCCTCGGAATTTTCGGTCAGATGACACGATATTGTATAATCTATAACCACCGATGAGGAGTTAAAATAGCTATTTATTGCACTAACTTCGTAACCTTAACATTTGGGACTTTTTCCTTAGTGTTTCCTTGCTACTCCAGTGATTGTACCTCCAGTGCTAGCTCCAAGCACTACCATGTCAACTTTACCTTTGAACAATACATCGTAAGAAAATCAGTTTAACGAGTGCAAAAATTTCATATTGCACTTTTCCACAAAAAAAGTTACATCACGACAAGAACTGAATTTCTCTTTTTAGCTACCTTTTACAGCTTCAGTTCCTTTTTGCGGTTATTACATATTGGTAAATAAGATAGAATACCTACCACCACATTGCTGAATTATCTCTTCATCTGTTCCGTCATATGGAACCAAGGCATTGCTCGCATTTCGATACTAACGAAAAAGTAACACATTTAAGCCTTATTTAATATTGTATATTAATAAACAAATAAATCGATATTTGCCAGAAATTCACGAAATCCATATGACTTATTGCCCGTTGACTAAGTTGACAAGTGCATGAGTTATGAGCAGAGGTCAGTTCGATAGATATGCATGCTTGATATTTCTTACTAGATTATCGCAAAGTTCCTCTTAATCCTGATGATTGATAAACATCATTTTGGCAGTACACTGCTACAATTTTCTACACAGTCAGCTATTTTAAATTATGTCAGGAAAACCACCAAAATCACATCTAACTTACTTATAGAGGTGTGATGTGGGAATTGTTAAATTTATTAGTTTTGATTTACACTACATTCATTTCATATGTTTATTTGAGGTTTTTTTGTTGCGTATCGTCATAAAAAAACTGATGTTTAAACAGTTCCTTACGACAGGTCTTGTGTTGTTTATGCGATGGTGACAGACATTATATTTGAATTGAACTATTTCTTATTTTCTTCACCTTATCTTAGACGACAGAATTTGGGATCTCGCTGTTAAGTCCTTGAGAAAAACCAACCTGTGATTCTGAAAGAAACAGGTTACACTATATCTACATGATTTCCTGCGTATTGGACTTGATGGGCTGTGTCCAGGTTACCTTTATCCTGTCCTCGCAAGGGAACATGTCTTGACACGAGGATAATAACTGATGTGAACCCAATGGAGCGCAGGTGGAGTATGTTTCTAGAAAATGTTAAGCTATTTATTAGAGAAACAGGCAAAAAGTACTACTGGTACGAATCTGAAGGAAAGCTTGACAAATGCAGTACTCAGAGATGAACTGGTCGGTAGCATATGAATGATTTTTTTGGGTTACATTAAATTAACTTATGAAGAGAAGGTTTGCTTTCTCCCAATGCACATACTGGTATTGAATACATAGTAAGATATATCAAATGACCTATGGTGAGCGAGGGCCTTCTGGAAACCAGACAGTTACTAACAGGAGAACCGTCTTCCATATCCTGGGTTGGTGGATAACTAGCTTTCAAGAATTTAAATGAATGTTTAACAAAGCGATCAGGGCAATATCATGGTGATAACAAAGAAAATCCATTGCGTTGCACGGTTCTGTAGTTTTTTGTAGTTTGTTAAATAATGTTTTGGCACAATTACCTCAGTTTAAGCCCCAGTAATAGCGGCGCAACCGTCTGGAATAGCTAAACCTGAAACATTAGAGAGTCTGGTCCATTAAACCAATTTAAACGCCTTCTCTATCATAATTTTTAAACAGAGCATTCATGGAAATCAGGTTTTTAAGTGGTACATTGTTGTAAGTTAATATAATGTTAGGATTAGGATTTTTAGGTTCTTAGGATATTAGTCATTGTATTGGAATTTTTTGTCCCTGATGAATTTTTTTCACCATCTATAAATAATGATTAAATAAATAAATGAAAATAATTAACAGTAAATAATAATGTAGACTGACTGACCAATATTGCCTGATGCCGGTTCAATGATGGTGTCTCCAGGGTTGAGTTTTCCTTGGCGCTCGGCATCTTCAATCATTCTCAGTCCTATCCTGTCCTTCACTGAACCTCCTGCGTTGAAATACTCGCACTTCGCCACTGAGAATTAAACAAGGTTTCAGTATTATAAACTGACTTTTTACAACAGAGGTAGAGTCATATATAGTAATTTTATGACACAGGCAAGTATTTCATCTTAACTTAAGCTTATACTCACACAATTCAGTGGGGTATTTTCAATGTGATGAAGAATACCTGGAATTATTTTGTTTCCTGTCACTCCAGAAAAATTTGGAAAAAATTTATTTTTTTTTATTTAACGACATGACTGACCTTGCTTCCCTAAACACAGTTTCATCACTCACGCGGTCTTCACGTGTTGATGTGGAGATTCCCTTTTCAGTCCCAAGTGCTAAGTACATTGTGAGGGTAAATCGGTCTGCACCCATTGCCGTTTATCACCGACAGAACTTGATCGTTTCAATTCTTGGTGGGATATTTCACCAGGTGCCATCTGAATGCCTGTTCCTGACGGGGCACAAATTTTGTGTTGAAGATTTTATGTTGTGGTGTCAACTGTGCGTTCATGAAGATATGAAGCACTCGAGAACGGGACAAGCACTCATAAAGGTGAAGTTATCTAAATAGAGTGGCTCTACCGTGCTGCGGGGCATACGCTGGCGTCATCAAAGTCCGCAATGGAACTTTGGAATTCAATTAGAATGTTCAGTTAAATTTGATTTAAATCTCCGCTCGGTTCATGGGTTAGTGTAGGTTTGTGCTTGCTTGTCACATCTGTATATGCATTCAGAAGCGTAGCAAACTTCGTTTTGTAAAAAGTCGTAACTGCCGCGTTAGAAATGATTTCAATAAATTGGTTCATTTATCAACCGTACGTTTAACAAGACATAAAGAACCTAGAAATTTTCTAAAGCATTAAAGGAAAAAAAAATTAGGGTTTCCAAAAGAAAATCGCTTACGCATCAATTAATCAATTGTACACAAACGTCATCAGCGCGAACGATGGGAATATGAAAGACGCGCTAGATTGGATTCCCAAATTTAGTATTTTAAAATGAAAATGTCAAGCTTTATTCACAACTCAGTCAGAACATTTACAGATGGATATAGAACGCAAACAAATCGTGTTTTATATACAGAAATGTATATTGACTCCAAAGGACTTGCATAGCTAAGCAAATTAAGAGCCTGTTTCATTGGTAAAATTATCAACAACAAAAAGAGCAACTATTTAGAATCCAATCTTTCAAATACTTGTGAACGATAAATAGTCTAAAAGTAAATATTTACAAAGAGAATGATAAAAAAGGAACATATAAAATAATGTAAGTCTAAAGTACGATGAACATGGCACTTTCTGTTGTTTGGATGTCAATGTCAATGTTCTTGACGTGTTCCTAATGAGCCTCTCAGACACAATAGAGCGAATCTTAACACAGAGAAAGACTTTTTAGCTCTAATCCATGGGATGGCCTTCGCATAACTCTCTCCTTTCTTAGTTGAAATCAACCCAGCCAGTCGGCTATGGTATCTGTTGCATTCTTTTCCCATACCTCCGGTTGTGGTGAAGGCCAGAGGTGACGGCGTACCACGTTCAATTTCAATAACTCTTTCCCCACATGGACGCCTCTTCTCGTTTTCGGACAATTCGTAGATCTATTCCGAATTCAGTAGCTTTGTTATTACTAGCACGTACCTCGAGCAACTCTTAAGTGTATTTTGTTTCGTTTTGTTATGGTTTGTTCTTTCATGCCTCATATCTCGCACGCACGCTGACGCACGAACTCATCCATCTCTAAAACAGGAGGAGACTATGTGACCACGGCGATAATTGCCCTCTTAGGTGCTTACTTGGATTTATTGATTACCACAGTTCCCATTTTCAAGTTGTCTAAGATTTGGATAATTTTATCTGATTAACCACTGTTATATACTATCCCTGAACTAAATTAAGTGTCCTTCATAGCTCATTGCGGCGTTGGTAACGAGGGCGTGCTCATTGACGAGTATCAGAACAAATCTCAGAGCATCTCTTGCTAATTGAGAACTCTTCTCAGGTTCTCGATGAACACACAACTGACACTGAATATTTTGTGACATTTTCAACATGGCAGTTTAAATCTTTTGTAAAGAAAAGTTTCATCCGCAGCCCTTCAGCGTGTGCAGAGACATTATAGACTGGCATAATGCCAGTAAATCAGTAGTTGTGTCATGAGTGCGGTTTTGGATACCGTCCAATGGCAGTATAATACGAAGCATCCGTTATTTACTCGTGAACTCTGCCCAGATCATATGCGTTCTTTTCTTATTCCACGATACAATCAAACCTGTATTAAGCGGCAATGAAATAAAGGTTGACGCGTAATTCAGGTTCCATAGATTAGGGGTCTTATAGAAAACGATACACAACGCCTTTATGCCTTAACTGATCACTAAATGTACAGATTCTCGCTCAAAAACCCTACATACTTTGATTTTGGGAGATAAAAGAAGGATTAAAAATTACTTGGAGGATTATTCCCTGTTATACTGGAGTGGTTCTGCTTTTAGTGACCATTTGATACAGGGGAAAAAACAATAAAACTAGGCTGTTGGGACTTGAAAAAGGTGACCAGTTAATAGAGGTGAAAATTACAGTGATTAAAGGGAAACAAATTCGGAACTTTGACAACTGACCGCAGGGTGGCCGCTTAATAAACAAATTCGATCGCATCACTTTTAGATCGCTCTTAATCTGAGAACTTGCATACCCCTTAATGCGGCTTTGCTTATTCCGACAAACAGTGCAGATGATTTACGTATGATTGTCGTTTCTTTGTTAGAGAAAATAATGTAGTATTTTCTCTTGGTTCTAGTAAACAGTAGGTTTGTACGTTAGCGTGTGTTCATTGAGATATAGGGTATGAAAGATGCATAAGGGTTGTTCGAGGTGGTCGTTCATCATAACAAAGCTATCAAAGTTGTGTTATTGAATTATACGCCCATCTTAGGTCTCTACTGTTTACGCGGAGTGTGACTGAATCATTTACCTCGCCAAAAATTGCAATTCACATCTCAGTCATCTCAGGTCGCTACACTTTGTTGTTCGACGTCGAGAGGTTCTGGAGCGAGCAAGACAGTGACTAGACAGTTTTAATCCTTCCTTCTCGAGAGTAATTATTGACAATCGGTTTTCATTCCTGAGGAAGCTTTGGAACGCGCTGTTCTGTGCTCTCCATTCTACAGGTATATGTTGGAAATTGTATCTCAAACGCATTTCTGTAAATATTTATTAAATGAAAACTGTTACAACGCAACGCCTTAATTAATAATATTAATACTTCAAGCGGACACTGTAGTATGAAAAAAAAAATTTAGCGTGCCCTTACAAACAATAAATAAGTCAAATTTTTTTATATTAGAACAAACACTTTTGTTCTGTGTGCAAGTGCTAATGTCCTTTGTAGAATTTAAGCAACTGTATATCTTGGTTCAAACTAATTTACAAACAGACTATATTTCTGTGTCTATAAATACGCTTTTTAATATATTCAACTGACTGTCCGATTTGAAATAGTTTCGGGCCGTTAGAGTGAAGTTTATATGAGAATTTAGGAATTATTAAAGCAATCTTTTTTAGACGTCTCACGTTATTGTTTTCGTTTTAAATAAAATAATAAGCTTAAAGTTAAGGAACATGTCACATCGAGACAAATTCAACTGAGTAACAAACAGCCAAAATACTCAAATTACAGTAAATTAGACTTTACCTATACCCTTATGTTGATATCAGATGTATTTCTTTTTGTGCTGTAAGTTTACAGTACCTCCTTGCGAATAATTATAGACTCTTTCCAAACGGAACGATTTAAATATGTACATTTTTTTAACTCAGTAATCTTCTCTCGGAAGAAAGAAAAGAAAATTGTAAACAGTTTACATTACTCTAACAAAACAAACAATCAGGAACTTTTTTCTTCTTCTATGCTCCGCCTCCAAATTAATGTAACTCGCCGTTTTTCAATCCATTCTCTTTTTGATTTAAAGTAATGAAGTTCAACAGGTCAATGCGTGTCACAATTCCAAATATCATCTCTTTTTCATCCGGTTTACCTTTGTTGGAATCTGAGGTTGAAAACAAAATCAAGGACAAATTACGAAAAAGGCAATAATGCACATAAATATTCCACCACTATGTTCATTTTACCAAATAAGGTCACGAGAACGCGCGAAATATGCCACAGTATAGTTTCACGATGTTACACTGTAGAGCAGGGCAAAAATGCGGATCCAAATGAATGATCCAAACTTTCATTTTTTTTTCTTTTTTGGGCTTGAGTTTTAAAGAAACGGACTTAAAAGCGCGAAACGGACTTAAAAAGCGCGACAGATACATTCTTTGGTAAGTCACAAAGAACCGGTTCGTTCGTATTGTTTCAGTCTTCTGAGTAAAGGTGGTTAGGAAGGTGATCATAAACGTCTGAAGGTAGCCACATACTTTGTAGCAAGAGCTTAATAAACTTGACGCAACAGCGGAGAACAAACGCGGACAACAGCAAAGCGTTGAAAAAAAGTAACGTTTTAGATCTCTTTTCCAAAAGAAAAAAAAACAAACTGGATAAATCTTTGTCGATTTTCCTCTCTTGTTTTAGACGGGATAAGAGCGGAGTGAGAAAACAGGAGGGAGGTTTGGGTCATTCCATCGATTTTAGAATCGCACCGACGTCTTTGAGCTTTACGCTCTGTACAATATATCACATATTGCTGTCAGCGGTCAGAATTCCGCGTGGTTGACGAACAAAAGGAAGGGTGACAGAATAATTCACTTGGACAGGAAGGGCGATTCGCTGGCTGTGATCTCAAATGAAAGGCCTGCAAGGAGGCTACTACTTTCCAAGGTCCGCCCAGATCCCAACCAAAGCATCTAACACTCTAACCGAATTCCCTTCCTTCGCCAGCTACGTTGGCTAATAAATCATATTTTATATAGTATGGACTTATCCTCATGTTAGAAATTACCAAATCACTTACAGAGTCGTTGCCTGTGAACTACAACGGCATAGTGATCATGATCCAAGATACGAGACAATCGGCCAAGG